GTGCTCATTAGTTAAGTGAAGAAAACAAGTCTTGTCAGGAGAGGGTGATATTTGTGGCTGTGCTGGCACCCAGGCATTTGACTTTGGTTTTCACTTGTCATAGAAGCAGGATGCGTAAGATTCTTGCCAGAATAGAGTCTTGTTTTGCTACTCAGCAATTGCAGTCAGAGCACCTTAGAACAACCCCCTTTCTGGCAAGGAGAGAGCAGGAGCAGCTCCCAGGAGCTATTTTCCCATTCTCTGCCCACTCAGCGTGGATAAGAAACTAGGCTAGTTTGCATGTGGGTGGCTGTGGGAAGGAGGTAAATAAAGACACATATGTTTATATGGCAATTCATCTCTACTGGAAGTCAGTGAGGTTTGGAGCCCAGCTGCTGCTTATGCAGCGTTGAAAAGCTTCTTCTCTGTCCTTGGAGCTGAACTATTATTAGAGGAAAAATTCCTCTCCAGCTTCATGGCTGTATCAGTGAAGAGTAACTGACAGTATCTCTATAAGATGCTGCATACACATCTTCAAGATTAGTCAAAAAAATACAGTCGAAATTCAAGTTTCACTTCAGATTCTTTTAAGCACTGAAAGATTTAATGAGAATGCCTTTGTGCTTCAGTTCCTTCCTTTTCTAGGCTTTTTCTAAAAAAATTAACAACTTTTTCTTGGGTATTCATAATGGCTTAGTCCTACTTACCTATATACTATCATGGACTATTTTTATTCATTTTCATTGCTTTGCATTTATGACAGTGATTTTCATTGCATTTTTGTCACTATCAGCTAGCATGAGAATTTTCTACAGCTTTTGACAATCAGCCTTAGATATTTTGAATAAATAATTTTGAACCATACACAAACTTTGTTATTTCCCTATCCATCCCTTTTGCAGATTTTTTGAATAAGCTACACAATATTTGGATCTCACTTATAACTTTCTTGTATAGTCACAACCAAGCATATACTCCTACCCTTTGTTCCATATCTTTTAAATAGTCACTGACCTATGTGAGGACTTTTTTTTTTTTTTTCCCCCTCTTAACGGGTCAGAAATTCATCTTCAGCATGTGCGTCCAATTTAGCATTTTGTAAGGCGTGTAGAAGCATGGGGGTATGTATGGGCAGTGTTGTAAAAAAAAAAAAGAAGCAACTGGTTAGTATTGTATATACATTTTTGTGTGTGTGTGATTATAATGCCATTGATATTGGAATAGATGAATTTCGAACAAAATAACCATTCTGTCTACTTTTCATTTTACTGCTCTTTACCATCAGTCATCTTGTGTGGACTCATAGAGGGAAGAGAGACCTATACGCAGGACATGAAATCGTGCCTTCGACGTGCATTAGGACTGCTGGAAGTCGCAGCTTTATTTCATGAGGTGCACAAATCCCCCAGCTTATTCACAATCCCATGGGTGAGACATGCAGGCCGTGTTTCTAAATACTTGAAGTCCCATTTCTTGTGCAATTATTTGGCTTCAGCCTGTTATTAGCCGAGAGGACAGGGGGAAGAGTCGCACGTCTGGCCCTTCAGATGAGCCGGATTCCCACTCTAGCTCCTGCAGTATTTTACTGGAAAGGTTTAGGATCCACTTTTGTTTCAGGTGTATGATGTACCTACTAGAGTCACCTTTCTTAAGGTCTTACTTTGGTATGGGCTTTCCATTTAGTGCTTTCCTTTGGCTTCCTTAGCCCTTCCCTTATATATTCCTTTTCATCATTCACTTATGAAAACAGCAACAGCTTCCTGTAATTCTGAATTTCCAGTCTGCCTCTTGGACACGGAGTTCACGATTCATTCAGAGGTACCTCACTCCCATGCCTGAGAGAGGAACTGGTTTTCACAATTGCCACATTCTACCTGTTGACCAAACACTGACTTTTGCTGAGAGCAAACCTGGTATTACATGGCTCCCATGCGCATATCTCTGCTCATTTTGGTCATCAGCGTTAGGGGAACTGGATGGTAAATCAGAGCTCTAGCTGCAAAAACATGAGTACACTTTTGGTGTTACAAAAATTCTGTTTTCAACAAAAGCCTTGGAATTCCTGCTGAAGCTGCCTTAATTTTACAAATCTAAGTTTATTTGTAAGCCTCATCTCTATGTTTTCTTTCAAGTTTTGAAACAATTTATTTATCCTCATCTCACGAAGCTGTGAAGTAGGTACTGTAGACATGGTAATATTTATTCTTGTTGCTGAAAGCATGTTCATGTGTTCTGTATCATGTTACATTCACGTGTTTTGTACCTCAATGCGTTTCTTTTTTTTTTTTTTTTTTTTTTTTTTTTTTTTTTTTTTTTTTCTTTTAGAGCACAAAGCAAAACTGAATCCCAGGATAACTGTAGTGTCTGTGGCCCAGCATCTTTGGGCAGACAAACCTCAGCTCTATGAGAGAGGTGAACCAGACTAGTCCATTGCAATTTTGTGTTTGTACTATAAGGAGTATTTATGATTTATGGTATTATGTATCTATTTTTTTTTTCTTAAAATACTGAACTTTAAAAAGCTCTAAGCATCCCTTCAAACGTATAATTAATCTGAAGCTCAGAAAAAAAAAAATCCTGAACTCTATAAATACTCCATCTTTCTTGTGTTTTCAATTTTGTCAGCTGATGGAGTGAAAATTTTGTTTTCAAACTAATTGTTTTAGTACTTTCTGGGGCTAGCTGTAGTGGAAGGACACAGAGCCTAGGTTCAGTTTTGTCCTTTGTGCAAGTAACTGTGCATTAGATAATCACAATGAAGCCTTTTACCTTCCATTTATGGTGTGGAAAGTGTTTCTTGGTGTACTGCACTGCATGTGATAGCTGTCTCCATGGTTGACATTTGCACTTTAATAAACTCAGAGATGAAAAGAGGCAAGAGCAACAAATCGTTAAAATGTACTTATTGCACAGTCCCTTTTTGCAGGCTGGGGTTGGCTGGTAGAATTTCCCTCTGGAGATGTTGCTGGCACATGCTCGCTGCAGGGCCATGGATGCCCCTGGGGCTTCAGGGGGACGAATGGGCAGGGATGGGAACTAAAATAAATACATGACTAACAAACAGCTTCCCCAATCTGAAATACATGCCAGGACCCAGGCCCAAAGGTTTTCTTCTGTATCCAGCAGAGCTGATGGACCTGTGCTGACTCTGATCTCGACTCCTTACACAAAAGCATGGAGAGAAGCATGTTGAAGCTATTGTGTAAAAATAACCTTCCATTGCAGGAAAGACTTCTGGGCAGGGGTGACCTGGGGACTTTGTTCATAGATGTCTCTGATGGAGAGGGATGTAAATCCAGTTAAAGCGCAAAGGTGCAGTGAGTGCTTTGCTTCTGTTCCTATCCCCATTCTCCTTTTTACCCAATTTATGTGATACAGAATTGGTTTCTAAGAAATTTCTGTTCTCCCTCACATTCAGGAAATCACAACACTTAATCATGATCATCTCCATTTTGAGAAGGAACATGAAAGAACTGGGTTTAAAATTCCCATGAGAATTACTTCATGTTTTGATGTGTTTAGGAGGCACCAACATGGCTATAAAAGCACAAAGGAATAATTTAATCTCCTGACCAGTATCTTGAGTTAAAGATAGCCAACCCGTGGTTTAATTGACAAAATCAAGTTGCTATATGTAAAGTATTTTTCTATATGTAAAGCATTTTTGTATTGTCTTGAGTCACCCATATTAAGCGCTTTCCTTCTGTTCATGAACTGGAAGCTGCCCATGAAGAAGAACGGTTTAAATGCATTGCAAGGCATCCTTGGATTAAGCAAGTCAGCTGCTAACACCAGTGCAGAAGTTTGTGTTTCACATCGAGTTGGGTCGCTACCGCACAAGGGCTGTGTGTAACTGCACTGGGATCGGGGCCCAATCACATATATGACAGGATATAGGGGGAGAATTTTTTTTTTTTTTAAACTTAATTTAAAAAAAATTAATTGTTAAATAACTTCCCTAGGAGACAGAAAAGAACTAGCACATGTGACTAATAGAAGATTTGCACACTTACAGAGCATGTAATAGACTTCAGGAGCTGAGAGCTAGTGCTGGATGGGGAGGAGGATGCGGAAGGAGTCGAGGAAGGGAGTGTTTTCTTCACAGGATCAATCCTAAACATTGGCACGGAAAAAAGTCCCCCAGGTAAACCGTCTCCACAACTTCCATCAGGATAATTCCCTGCAAAGGCTGTAGGTGAAGGATATCACACATGTCCCAGGCTGCTCTGAAGCCAAACATGCACTTCAGCTCCCCAAACTCTCCATCTCCACTAGAGAAGTCTAAATATTTGGGCTGGCAAGCCTGCAAAGCTGCGCATGCTTACAGGGGTTTGTTTTATTTATTTTTTATTGCAAGGATGGATGCAGGCCAATGCACTTAATAGTAACCACATGGTAAAATAAATAAGAATGCCTGTATGGACTTAAAAGTAAATGTTAAATATTTGCTCTGTTTTTCTGATGTCTTCTATGCCAGCTTTGAAATGGCCGTGTGGCAAACAGCACTTTTATTTTGCTCTGTTTTCTTAAGCCTGGAACATTTAATAATTTCTAATTAAACCATCTACATTTTTAGGATATTTATGAGCAAACTGATATGGGCTCTTAAAGTGCCTGGGGAGGGGCAGAAGCTGTACACTACGGTCATATTTAAGGGTTTTTTTCTTCCAAAGCCATGTAATCCACATTTTTCTGCTTTTGGAAAGGTATCCCCTGGATACACCGAGGAGAAGCCATTAGCAATTTATATTTCTCTTCCTACATTTAGGAGCATTTTTCTTAAAATAAGCAATCATCCTCCAGGCCCACAGCAGAGAATAGCCTGAACACAGGGGCAACTGTTGGGTAACTGACTGCTGCTGCGAGTCAGTGGGAGCCAGAAGTCAGCCTTTACATATCTGGGATGCCTAAGTTAGCTTACAAAAATAAAGTAAATTTTGACTGAATGCTTTATTTACTCTTCTTTAATATTTTTTTGGAAAGAAATGAGTCGACTTTTCCACTATTTTATATATTTAACTCAGCAAGAGTGGCAGTACATACTTCTTGTCTCAATACTCTTGTCAAGCCCAAAACCAGTTCAAATTTATATGGTTTGCTTTTTAAAGAGCAAATCTTTTGGGGAGTCTCGCAATACCAGCACCTAAACCAGACAGTAACGAGATGGAGAAACTAAACTGTACAATTTATTTCATACAAACACAGAATTTCAGAGCTGACCAACAAGGTACTCCAAAAAGAGACATACCGAAAATAGCTAATGTTGAGATAATCAGTGAAGACGTGCTCTAAATAGCCGACAAAGGAGAAGTCTCTTGCACATTAAACAGTGTAACTGTAAATAATACCAACTTTATTTATATTGGCGTCATCACTCCACAGCTGACCGACGTGAGCTCCCAGGGATGCAGGAAGTACAAAAAAGACCTTCAGGGATGCTCCAGGGAAGAGCAGCTCTCGCAGCAGTTAATACTGTCTGTCTCAAAAAAAAAAAAAAGAAAGTTTCACAGCAATGGGCACCTGGGCAATAGGAGGTTCATTTGTATCAATTATGCATGAGCATGCAAGGAAATGATACTGCAGCAGGGAATTTAAGGGTGTGTTTTGGCAAGGCGATGCACATTGAGTGGCCCATGTTTGCAGCAGATGTGAATTAATATGGCATATCTGAAGGCAGTCAAGAATCTCCAATTTATACAAGTCATGACTGGATGGGGCTTTTTTTAGCTGCAGTTGGACTGGAAACTTGTATAACAGCAGAATAACAGACTAGAACTGGAAATACTTATTTAATATTTAATACTGGCTGTTTATATTAACCTTCCCCTGCCTTCAGAAGTTTTAAGTACTTTTCTCCAGATCTCAAATATCTATACCCAGGAAGGAGAAGAAAATATGCATCATAATAAATAAAATACGAGTTTACCTGAAGTTCAAATGCTCCACTAGAACATACCCATCTGAGAGAAGGGGAGAAAGAGACGTAAATTAGTAAAACCCTGAGCAAATAAAGTCACCGTGGCTAAGCACAAAGAACATATTGTTGCTTGCCCCCTCAATCCCCCCCTGGGATTGAGAAGTGACCACCCATGCCAGAGGCTATCTGCAAGCTTACATCTGCCCTCTGAGTTGCGGCAAATCACTGCACTGCCCTCCGTGACATCGATAACGTCCAGCTGTTCTCCAGCTGTGACTGGGAGATCAACTGTCCTCTTACTGGGGACCGAGCACTCGGCAGTGGCAGTGTTGATGACGTTGATCTCCTTGTTGTACTGCAGAGAAGAAAGAAAACCACAAGTTATTCTACACTCATGTTCACTGTCTTTAAGGGCAGTGGAGAGGGATGGAGAGATTTCAGGATGGGTTGTGAGGCTTTGTTTGGGGCTGAAGAGGGAGGAAAAAATATACCCCCAGCAACATCCCTGATGAAGAGCCAAGATTAGGGGAGAAGGCAGCAGGTCAGTGGGACATCTGTCCCAGCACATCTAAGGACCAACAGCTTTTCACCATGCATCTTTTAAGCATGACACACAACTGCTTTCCTTCTCTGACACAACTAGTTCCCTGAAAAGACACGTACCATAAATGTTTCTCTAAAAATCTTCTCTTCTTTTTCCATCTTCTTGATTTTTTCTGCATTGCTCTTCTTGACCTTAAAGATATTTCTGTTGAGAGAGACACACACACTTCTGAGATCCATTTAAATAACCCCTGGCACACTGGGAAAGGCTACCCAGAGCCTAACTCCAGCCTTGTCTGCAATGAACTCTTGGAAGAGCAAAGCACACCATTTACATTGATGTTTTTCATCAAAGGATGAACATACAACTTGAATCTGTTGGTGAGCGTAATTTGAGCTATTTTGTATCTCAGTTTGGATTAACTGTTTTCTCTGTAAGCAGTGTGGGAACAAACAAACTCTCCATCAAGTGTTTCAGATCAGTCATGTTTTTATAGAAGTCAACAATTCGCTTTTCCCCCAGCAGTTTGTCTCCTTCTGGTTTTGTTTATATTCAGACATAAAGGGTCCCCAGATAACTCTCATCCCGAGTCATTTATGGAAGTGGGACTTGACACCACTCTCCAGATTTTTGTTGCTGTTTTAGCACATGGAGGAGAATGTCACCCAAGCAGACATTTATATGGCATTGTAAAGTGAAAAACAAGCTCTTATGACTGGCTTAAGAGGAGCAACGGCCATTTATGCTGGAGGATTCCCTGGGTATGCAGATGATACTCTTTCTGGTTTGTACATGAAATTCCAGCTATGGCATTCATTTAAAAACTAAGACAGGAAAAAAACCCAACCAACCAACCAACACACACCCACTTGCAATAAATCATTCACCCCTGGCTAACTTTCATGCACTTGATTTTAAGAGGAGGGGAAACAAGAGCTGAAATCAGGGATTTTTAAGCTGTGAAGAGATTCCTCCTCAGAAGTCTCAGCCTGCAGGACCTGCAATCTCTACGGAACAGATGAAACCATGTCGACCTCTTGATAGTCTGTGAAATTATACGCGTGACTTTGCACAAAACAAGAAGTTGTGTTTGAGTAACCCCATGCAGGAACTCTGTGGTGAGAACCCCAAAAATAAGTCTCTCATTTGCATTTGTTTGAAGTCCCAGGTATTGGGTCATGAAAAAAGCTTATTGCAATTAACACATTTCTGATGTAAAAGGGAAATTGAAACTCCTACTTCCATGAATATTTTTGCAGCACTGGTAGCAAAAATGTTTATTTTTGTTTTTATGCACAAATGGTAGAGCAAGAGGCAATTCAATAAACTCAGCTGGAAGAGGAAGACCCAAGAAATCAATACTTTAAAATAAGGGCAAGGGGAACACACAGGCAATTACTACGCTGTGTACAGGTCTTATAAACACAGTGCTCTTACCAAAATAGCAATAGCTTATCCATTGAGATCAAATATTTAATCAAGGCACAATCAAAGAAGGAATGGGACTGAGCACAGCAGAAAAGCAGCCAAATATATAGCAAGTAACAACTTTTACCTCAGCTAAATGAGAAGTCACGATACTACTTCAGGATGAGACCCTCAGGGTATCTCCTGCTTGCATACAGCTCAGATCCAAGGGTTTGTTTTGCCCTCAAGATATTTTATGCAAAGTTTCCTGAAAGCTGAGTTCAAAGGGAAAGGACCCTGGAGGAGCAGCCAGCAATGTCTGCTCAAGCAGGGGCATCCCACTCCTGCAAACGACTTAAGAGACGCGTGTACAAAGTTAGACAGCACTAGAAAACACAGAATGGAAAACAAGACCTTTCCACATCGTTGCTGCTTTTCCTTTGGTCCTTCTCCTCCTTCACCATCAGAAATTTTGGCATCCAGGTTTTGTACTTGTCATCCTTCTCTCTGAGAGGAAGGGAAAGCGTCACACAGAAGTTTTTTCCAACAGACCATGTCCCCTCCCCAAACCCATGTACCTACAAAGTCGTGATTTTTCTCTCTGTCTCCCCCCATAACCATCACTGAAATGCAAACACTTGCTGTGATTTATACCAGCACACGCTGCTGCCACAATCATCTGGCAGCAAGACATCAAGACATGCTGTTCCTATTAAAAGTAATTTTTCTGACAGGGAG